AATAGTCAAAAAGCCTTTGTTGTGTCTGTCTCTAACTGTGCACTCTACTCTGTAATGCACACTAGCAATAATAGGCTTCGCATGAATGTGAGTAGCCCACAATGCGCACTAATGCATCCTTATATCCGATCAAAAGCTGGCTTTTGAACAGTGTTCTCATAATTACCTGGGAAGGCTCAGGGCTCTTTAGCCTGGAGGATGGTCTGGCCATGGTTTCCACAGTTTCAAAGTATTTCTTTTTTTTACTGTCAGGCAGGATTTGAGAAGAGTTTGAATGCAGGTAAGGCAGCAATTACTCCTGATCCTAATTCTGTAATATAAGTGGTTGCAGATGACAGTTTTTGAGACTATTGCAGGCAAAATAATTTCTAATGTATTCCTTCCTGTTGGGTTGATTGGAACAAATAGACTGAAGCAATTTTTATATTTTTATAGGTGTTATTTTTCTTATGAATGCATTTTACTAATTATTTATCTGATTATTAATATTCATTGTAAATAATGATTTTATTTAGTTCTTTGAAAAGCAAAGTTTTATGCAGTCACATTGTTTGGATTCATGGATAATTTACTGTTAAATGAAAGCAACTGATCTACGCTAGGAATGGATGTGATTATCTCAGCCATCAGGATGACCTGGAAAGGAAAACTAAAGCACCATATGGCTGATATTTCACAAAGCCTCCTCCGCTTCTTTATTAACCATAGCAATACAATGAGACACTAACAAAACGAAGTAAAGCTGATGAACATGATTCCTACTGTCTAAATGAATTGTAACAGAAAGTTTCCCTGAACCTATACAGTTTAAACTCTGACCTGTGAATGTTGAGATCTGTAATTTAATTAGTAGCTGTTGGTTTGATTTTTTTGTCTCCATTCTCTGACGTCAAGGACAGAAAATCTGTCAAGCACCTCACTGTGCTGGTACGAGTCTGACAACAGAGGAAGGATGACACATTGCTGGACTGTGAGAATCATAATGGCAGGTCTGGTTGGTAAGCCACAGTGAAAAGGGAAAAAATAGTCACAAAGATTTCTTTTTTAACAATGCTTTTTCTACTACATTCTGATTGGAAATATGAGTAATTAATACAAATTCCCTTCTTTCTGACCAATTCTTCACAGCTTATTTGCATTCCTTGTAAAAAGGTGTCTATCGGTGCAGTAGGGTAAACTTGTACTGTATAAAAAAAGATTTGACACAAAGGTTTACTTCTCTAAGAGAAGAAAACCTGATATTTGGTTTGGGAAATCTGTTTAGAGATGCTCACCTAAACCTGTCCATATCAGGAGTCAAAGCAATAATTATACATTTTAAGATCACTTGAACTGTGACAACCGAGACTGGATGATAACTCGCTGTTATCTTCCCACCACATGCACTGAACTGAATGGTAAAGGATCTAAACATCTCCAGCCTTTTGATTAGAGGTATTGCAAGAAAAGAAATGATGCCGTTAGCCTGTTTTTCCTTCCAAAGTCTCTGGGAACCTTAACATTTCATTATATCCTTGGGTCTCTCCCAGAAATCTGACAATTATTTGTTGCTAGAACTTTCAAACTATAAAATAAATCAACAAAATAACATTCGAAACATCTTCTATGTTCCAACCTTGTGAATTAATATAGCTGAAGCAAATTGTTGCCCTCTTAAAAGAAGGTTATGCAAGTTATTAACACCAGGGGGAGGCAATAAGTGTAGCACTCTTAAACAATTATTTCTTTAATATGAATTTGTTTAATTGTGCTTGAATTATATTTTCTCATTTGGGCATTGCTTGATTAAGATGTCTTATTTTTTAAATTATAGATATTAAGAATTCTTAACAACTTTGATGATCTGAAGAAAACCTACCATCTAATTTAGACCAAAGCAGTTTTGTTATTCAACGAACATGTGATGTTTTAAAGGTGGAAAACAGAAGAAAATAAAATTTTAAGCATTTTGTTCCTGGATTAAAATTCATTCTAAGAGCTTGTGCAATACGGCTGCAGCTCATTTGTGTGAATTTATTGAGTGTGAAGTCAAGAGGTGTGCTTCTGCTCCCCGTCTGAAATGGAGATCCAAGTTAATAGAATCGGGAGCAGCAGCCGTCTCTCCTCGCCAGATCCCGGCAGCTGAATCAGTGTGTTTTCATTTTGTGTTAGATGAAGAGGGGAAACTGGGGAGGCAGAGAGGAGGTGAAAGCAGGGGTGTTTGAAGGAGAACAGCTTGTTAGAGAAAGAGAGAAAGGAATAAGTGGAAAGCTCAGCTGCAGATTTGAGCAGACTACAGCATCATACATATTACATGCATCAGATATTGCTCACATCAACACTTGCTCACTGTTACTCGAGTGGAATAAAACTTCCAGATCCCTCAGGGATGATAAATATAAATCCGGAGAGTAAATGCATGGAGCTGTAGGAACCATGCTGACGTGTTTAACATGAGTGGATTTAAATCAGCAGATGAATCCATAAAAACCATACAGTTCAAGGACTTTAGTGGAACAGAGTCTGCAGTAAAACATGAACTGTCTTCTACTATTCTTTATCTGAGTTGGCCAGCCGGCTGCATTTATGTGTGTTGTGCAGCTCGAGAAGAGGAGGGGAAAGAAAAAGAAAAAAAAGGAGAGATTAGTTAATGCAAGTGAGCCTTGATGTCAGCAAAGTTTAAAAAAGGTACATTTTCTCCTAATGCAAGCTTAATTTGGCAGGTGCTGCAGATTTCAGTGTAATGATTGCAACATTGTTGAAGAAAATCCATCTTTAATGCTGCCTGTGATCAGTCACAAGTGCCTGCACACTTCTTGTTCAATATAAACCAGAGGTCATTGGGTTTATTCAGTTGACATTGGGCTTAAAACATATAGGAGGGCTGATTTTATCCACTGGTACATGCACACTAAAGAAAACTACTAGTTCTGATTTATTGATGTTTACAAAAAGTTTAATAGGTAGAAGAATTACACATATTCTCTGGCATTTGCAAACTATTTCAGATTAGAACAGTTTGACAGATAAACAGATTCTGAATAATTTGGGTTGTTAGATGTTCATCCCTACCACTTAAAGCAAAGTTTGATTGTTTTCAAAACAACTTGGTTTAAAGTGTTTTTAGTAATATATATATAACTATTCTGGTCGCTCTGCATGTCTTCACTAATATTCCCCTGAATTTTATTGTTGGTGTTTTGGTCTTAAATCCATGCAATGTCCTCACATAAGGGTAAAATGTTTTACTACTACTGCTTATATTACAAGTAAACACTTTTTTCCTCCTAATTCCTGTCACTTTTTGACAAAAACATGCAAACAAAAGGGTAAATTGACTTTCTCAAAACATCTTTGATGTTTGATGCTTTCTGTGATCTGTGCGTGTAAACTTTTTTTTTGTTGAGTTTCTATTTTTGTATTTATTAACAATGACAGAGAACAAAACACCACAACAATATATAATCTACACATGGCATGTTGTTGAAAAGGTGTCAAACTATATTTTAAAGAAGATTTGAGTTATTTTACTGAAATCTGTGGCCGGTAGCTTTAATTGTGCTGGTGCTGGCTTTAAAAAACACAGATGAAGCAGTTCATGTTTCTTTTGTTTTCTATCCTGGGCCTATTCAACCCAGCATAGGCTGCCTTGACAACAAATAGTCAAGGCCGCTGGACAGCAGCACAGGATGAGGCTAGCTCATAGACCTCTTTGACAGTCAGCGATTTTGACATATCGTGGAAGCAGAGGCCCAGGTCATCACAAGACAGACTCTGGTCTTTCCACAATGAAACATCTGAGCTGAATGGACACCATATTTATTCTGCTTTAATTTTTTTTGTTTGTTTTTAAATCACATTGAAAACAGCAATTTGCATTCTTGAACCTTTGAACTCATATCTTCTGTGAAAGCAGCGATTCAATTCAATCCTAATATGAGCTGCAATAATGAGAAAATTATTTGTAGGAGGGAGTGCATTAACTCTGAAACTTTAATCTCAGATGAGGTTTAAGACACAACTTAAGCTGCATGCTGCAGACCAAGTTTAATTACAATATCATCATTTGAGATGGACGAACTAGAGTTTCTTTTTTTAAAAAAAATATATTAGTTAACTGGACCAGAAAGAAGCATTATTTCTGTTTTCTACCAGAAAAATTTGAAGGACTTTGTATGAAAATCAGGAAGTGATCTTAAGCTAACAAACACACATTATGTTATGGAGTAAGATAATGAGCCAAAGCACATCAATAATTCCTCCTCCTCATGACTCAAGAAACAAAATTATGAGGTCCTGTCAAAAAAAAAAAAAAATCTAAAATTAAATTTAGATGCTCTGATTTGCTCATAAATAGGTAGTTCATGCTTGAAAACTCCTTCACATCGATTTAAAAGACTCCTTGTCATTTCTCACAGTTGCCTGATGACAGTCGGTGATGAAATCAGTTATTAGGTTTGGGGGCAAATATTTTCACATGGGCCTGAATGTGTTTGACAGCTTTTGCCCAATTATGCATCTCTCTTCTCATTAAAGAAAAAGTTGTCAAATTTGATCAAACTAATTTGATAGTTTGATTTGGAACATGTAAGCATGACCAAAAACCTAAACCATAAATATTTAATGAGGGGCGAATAATTGTTCACAACTTTGCATATGGGACAGCTGACATTGGATGTGTGGAGGAGTCTTGGGTCAGTACAGGGAACTGGGGATTTCCCTGCTCTCTTTGGACTCTTGTATTGCTTTTGCATAAATCAAGGTGGAACTTGATTTATGCAAAGTTACATCTGGATTTTATTATAATTAATGAATTCACTTTCGGTGTGGGGACCCATGTTTTTGTTGTTGTTGTTTTTTTGCTGAAGTTACCTGAATTTTTGACAATGTGTTCATGCACATAAACCGTGTTTGTGCAAACGTGCCATGGCGGGAGACAGGAGACCGGGGTGTGCGTGTGTGTGTGTGACGACGGTGTACGGGGAGGAAGAGAAGGAGAGAGAGGGAGCGACGCGGATGACACGCACACACTCTCCCTGTTTCTCACATACGGAGGAGAGAAGGACAGAGAGGGAGGCAAGAGTGGAGAGACGCGGAGCAGAGGGGAAAGCGCACGGAGAGATCAGCGGAGAAATGCCCGCTGGACGGATGGATTTTATTCTCCCTGAGCTGAACGAGCCTTTGTAAGACAACATGGGCTGCATTGGATCCCGGACGATCAGTAAGGACACGCCACTTTCGGTTCTGCCATGTGGATGGATGGATGGATGGATGGATGGATGCGCTGAGAGAATGAAAAGGCAGAGGAATTCATTGTTAAAGAAGTGAAATACACGTTCATTATATCCCTAGAGTTGGTTTGCAGTGAGTTGTTGCTACAGAAGAGGGTTTTTTCTGCGTTCTTTGAGGAGCAGTGAATTTATAGATAGTTTACTGTAGGAATCACTGTAGCGTTGTGTGTGTTTTGGGGTGTTTGTGAGGAGGGGAGAGGCTGGACAGACAGGCGGCAGGGATGTGAGCGGAATAAGACACCGCTTGACGTTTTTCCTCTCCACATGGATGACACCGGACATGCGGCCAACGCGCGCGCTTCTCTGTGACAGACAAGGAGAAAGAGGGAGGGATGGAGAGAGACCTCCGCCTTGACACGCCGCTAAGGTCATTCCATGCTGGGTGTCTGAGAAAATTCCTCCTCCTTCCTCCCCTTCCTGTCTCCTCCTTTCATCTTCCACTCGTTCTCACCCCTTCTTTCCTTCCAGTCCTTCCTCCCTCCTTTCTCTCTACTGTGCGTCATGCAGCGACGTAATATATCGAAGATACAGGGTGCAGGCTCCCCACAGACACACACACACCTACACACACACGCACACACACCTACTCCGGGTTACAAGAGGGAGGCTCGGTGATTGACTCTAACAGGATGACTCAGAACCTGGCTGGGTAAACTCAGGTGTGAGCCTTAAACGCTCTGCGCATGTAGGTCAATTCTGCAAAGTCAAAGGTGGAAACTGCTCACACGCTATTCTCTGCTACTGATCGAAGATCCGAGCTTTATACATTAACTTTATGGAACCGCGGTTCATCTTCGCTGGGAAACATGGCAAACTGTACGTTTTTTTGACTTGGTTGTGTCTTTAGGTTGAGTTCTTGAGTCTTTTGAGTCACTGGTGGTTTCAGCTTTTGAGTCACTGGTGGTTTCAGCTGCACGCAGCTGTTGAGGCTTGAATGTAGATTACTTGCACCTGAAACTTTCAATAAAATCAATTCAACTCACTTTACATATAGATTGCCACCTATAGCACAGTGTTTCCCGGTCAGTGGTTCCATTTTCTTGTAAATGATTATTTGATACCTTTCTAAAGCAAGCTTCAATGTGCACATCACTGGTGACATGAGGTGCCTTATTAAAGTCCTTTTGCATTTGAATGTTTTCAGTCAAATTTTTCTTTAGCCTGGTAAAAACCAGTTTCTTGTTCTACAGTTAGCTTTATACTTTTGTAACAGCACTGACCCAAACACACACAAAGCAAACGTAGTAGTGTTTGTGATCATTTCTCTCTCTCTTTCTCCCTTTCTTTCTCTTTCTCTCTCTCTCTCTTGAGGCCAAGGAAGTTGATGTTTGCTATTAAATAAAGTAGCCCATGTTACCTCTTCATGCACTTAAAAGCTCATTGATAAAATGTTACATGATCAGAAACTTCATGCAAGCTTTGGGAGAGTACAATCTTCACCATGCAAGGCTCTGGACGTTTTGCAGACATAAAATCTCCAGGGTTTGTAGATTGTATCCTGCAGACTTTCCCTACTTTCATATTTGCTCTGCTAAGCTGTTGGAGTCTTGGACACTCATCAAGATCAAAGTGTGGAGAGAGTTTCTCCTGCCAGGCTTTAAGCCATGTGCTTTCATATGAGGCATAGCTGGAAGGTACATTTGTGGCAAATGTTAATGTTGGAAAAAGGAAATAAATGATTAATTGCTCTCTCAGTTATGGACTGTTTTCACCATCTGACTTTTTAAAACTCAGATAGAAAACCTTGGGACAGCAGTGTGCTTTCAAGGTTCTTTACCACACATCTACTTCTGCATAAAGAATTTTTAGGCCTCCAGACATAACATTTTGAATGTTGTAATAATGTATGTCATTATGAATAAATCTGGCTGAAAAGCATACTGTCATGGCCAAACTGTATAATAGCTTCACTATGAAGCAGCGTCTGCAATCTCAAGGAAATTAAAAGCTTTAAAACACTTATTGAGTATACCTATTGAAAAATATGTCACTTTTGTTTTTAGAATCATATCCATTTGGAGTCTAAGGTGCGGTTTTGAACCAAGAAGATGTCAGCCAGTTCTTCTGATCCTATCCATATAGACGTTTGTACCACTGACTTTGTGTATCACTAAATGAAGTACAGTATGCATTGGAACACAAACTGCTCCTGACAGTTTAGGGGCTAAAATCTGTGGAGAGAGCTAAAGATAAAGTGATAGGAAGGAGGTTTTCAGATCTCAAAGACTTAGAGCTCATTTTAAAAGATCAGTTTTCAAAAATACTACTGAAAACATCTAAAAAGCTTTATAGGTAATATAAAAACATTAGTTGACTGAGTGTCCTTGCTTGGACAAAGCCTGAACATCAAAAATTCTGAAGAAAAATGAAGTGTTCACATGTTTCAATTGTAAAATTTGTCCTTACAAAATTTAAACTTACGATTTTGAGACGTTTTCACAACAAACACTGACTTCAAACTGCTGTCAAAGTAGAGTGTGGTCGCCCCTTCAAATGTGTGCATTGTCAGTTTCCATTATGTGGAGCATGCAGCTGGAGTGTCCTGTCTTCACATGCTCATATATTCAGACACACACATTGTAGCAGTGGACGATCAGCCCCCACCCAAAGCCTGCCTGTTAATGCACCATCAAAGCCTCATCAGGTCCTTTATGATAACAAATGCAAGCAGCTGGAGGATTTCAGTAAATAAAAGGAAGGACAATGTGACCTTTGGTTGTCATTGAGCTGGCTGGATGGAGGATGTTGAGGATGGGGGAGGTGTGTTAGTGGTGACTGCTGTGGAATGACACAGAGGGCTTTTTGGGGATAGAGGGTTGAGGTGTGAAGTGTCAAATACATGCTGGTGTTTCTTTTTTCCTTTTTTAGTTTCTAGTTTTATAAGTGGGTTTCCTCATCTCCTCTGGCTCTCTCTCTATCTCTCCCCTGCTCTCTTCTCCCTATTTGCAGTGTTATGAGTAGATGAAATTAAACTATATAAAAAATGTGCTCAATATTTTCTTTTTTTCATGTTTGAAAATTAAACTGAATGAGCAAAGAGAATGCGCTATTACAGGTGACTTCATAGATTACATTTGTTACATTATCTACCTGCCCAGAGATCTAACTGGAAGTTTTTAGTTTTTCATCAAAATTTTTGTTCCTATGTGTAAAATGAAAGGATTTGTTACTTTCCTGCACTGAGGGTACAAAACCTACTTTTACTGTACATTGGAAGAAATGTTTTAACTCTAGTGATTGAACTCATCATCAGATATGTAAGTAATAAGTTGATTAAATAAGTTATTAGGTAAAGCATTTGATTTTTCTTTCAAACTGTTTGGAAACTGAGAAGAAAAGGTTACCTTGAACATAGCATAAGAAGTTATCTAAAATAAAAATGTAACAGATAGCTGCTGGAGGTAATTTTGATGTTTTGCATTGTTGTACTTTTCTTATTTTGATTGTTTCATATCCAGATAGTTGTCTGCCAAAACTATGCACAGTTATACTGCTCTGAGCTAGAGTTTTCATGATTGTCAATGTGTGAATTGGTTTGTATAAATTGAAGCTGGTAAACATTGGTATTGCCTACCAATGTGTGTGTCTGACGGAAACAAAAGCTTTTTACACGGATCACACATTTTTAAATGAATGGTAAAAGTCTGCATTTGTCCCTGTCTCTTTATGTGCGTATGATCTATATTGGATTCAGGTTAAAGTCAGAAACCACTCCAAAAAGAAAAAGAAAGAAGTCAGAAGGCATTCCAGTTGATTTAAAAAAAAAATGGAACATGAAATGTCACACTTCAAAATTATAATTGAACACACTGTTGTACAGATACCAGATTTCAAGAAATGACGTAAGGCATCATACTCTTGTTGTTTGAATGATATATTCACATGCAGGAAGGTTTTACTGGGGAACAAAAAAATTCTACTGGAAAGTTTTTCTACCTTGTGCCAGCAACTTAAAAACATATCAATTTAGTGTGATTAAAGCTTTTATCATCAGTATTTTTTGTTGCAAATATCTGATGTTGAGATATTACCAAAATTTAATGTCTTGTTGGTCCAAAGTGACCAAACAGACATTAAAAATTTATTTAAAAGAATGTTCTGTATCTTCTATGGTTCATTTGAGATATTCAGAAAAAAATTGCAATGCATCACATATTGCATAAAATATTTACAGATGATTATTAAACTTATAATGAGAAGCTGTTGTTTTGATACTCAAAACAGCAGCCATTTTGAAGAATGGAGACTCGGAATTTCTCATTGAGCACCATCACCCTCAACAAAGCTGAAGACAGGAGACTGTCTTCAGTCTTCAGTTACCTTCTTATGCTCAAATACCACAATATGGAAAAAGCCACAGATAGCATATTGAATAGAAGAAGAGATGTTGCAAGCCTCAGCAGTAACCAGCATGACAAAGCTTGTTAAAACAGTCCAAGTGACTAGACACCAACCCTTTCCTCCAGCTTACTGCCTGCAGAATAGCTCCTGCTGTGTTTCTTCTGAGCCACATCTATTCTAATATTATCCCTGAGAGCAAGCGTCTGCTGCTAAAAATAGATCAGGGGTAAAAGAGGGAGGTCACTGAGAGATGGAGGGAGAAACATTACAGTAAATACTGGTCAACAGTTGACCCGACATTATTTATGTCACTTTCACTTCCCAGCCTCGCTTTGTCATGCGTCTCTTCCTCCTGGTACTCTGCAGAGAAGAATACAAGCGATTAGAAAAGCAAAGCCAATTGTGCTCTATCGCAGTCTTTCCTGTTCCAGGTCTTTCCATTATCTCGGCAATGCTGCAGTATCATTGTGGTTTGGTATTTCGGTACTCTATTGTTTCCCTCAGCTGTGTTTCCCGCAGAGTGCCATTTAACTGAACTATCACTGCCTCTTATTACACTCGATTATCTTCCAGTTACAGTAAAACTGTC